TGTGCTGCCCGTGCCTGTGCTGCCCGTGCCTGCTGCTGCCCGTGCCTGTACTGCCCTGTGCTGCCTGTGCCTGTGCTGCCCATGCCTGTGCTGCCCGTGCCTGTGCTGCCCGTGCCTGTTGCTGCCTGTGCCTGTTGCTGCCCGTGCCTGTGCTGCCCTGTGCTGCCCGTGCCTGTGCTGCCCGTGCTTGTGCTGCCTGTGCCTGTTGCTGCCCGTGCCTGTGCTGCCCTGTGCTGCCCGTGCCTGTGCTGCCCGTGCTTGTGCTGCCTGTGCCTGTTGCTGCCCGTGCCTGTGCTGCCCTGTGCTGCCCGTGCCTGTTGCTGCCTGTGCCTGTGCTGCCCGTGCCTGTGCTGCCCGTGCCTGTGCTGCCCGTGCCTGTGCTGCCCGTGCCTGTGCTGCCCGTGCCTGTGCTGCCCGTGCCTGTGCTGCCCGTGCCTGCTGCTGCCCGTGCCTGTGCTGCCCTGTGCTGCCTGTGCCTGTTGCTGCCCGTGCCTGTGCTGCCTGTGCCTGTTGCTGCCTGTGCCTGTGCTCCCCGTGCCTGTGCTGCCCGTGCCTGTGCTGCCCGTGCCTGTGCTGCCTGTGCCTGTTGCTGCCCGTGCCTGTGCTGCCCTGTGCTGCCCGTGCCTGTGCTGCCCTGTGCTGCATGTGCCTGGTGCTGCTCGTGCCTCGTCCTTGCGCCCTCGTGCGCTCTGCTACTGTCTGCGCCCTCGTGCGCACTGTTTCTGCTCTCCCCCCCCCCCCGTTTGCGGGTATGGGGGTGGCTGGTGTGCATTCCTCCCTTTGCTCCTCCTCCTCCTTCGTCTCCCACTGCTGCAGCTGTCGCTGAGGGGGGTGGTTGTGTGGGAGACTGGGGTTTAGGGTTTAAGGGGCGTGCGTGGGAGTGGAGCTAGCGGTGTAGCAGCGGGTGTGTGTCAGGGGGGTGGGACTGTTTGGGGAAGCTGCATGGAAGTTGCCGTACTGTAGTCCGCAGCACCTGTAGTCCGGGGCGCTGTCCCGGTAGCCCAGTGAGCTAGACTTCTACGCCAGCCGCCTGTGGGTCCGTTGCCCGTCCGCCGCTATTTGAGCCGCGGGGCCTGTTACTCCTGTAGTCCGGGCGCTGTCCGGTAGCCGCTGTGCCAGTCTGCCTCCTGTTGCCCGTGTGTCTGCAGCTTCAGCCGTCGCCTCCTATCTCCTCTCCCCTCACTCTCTCACCTCCTCCTCACTTGCCCGTTGTGACTACCACCAGCTTTGCTCATAATTCTTAACTTTAAACTATTGTTTCTTTAACTTGTGCTCAGAATGTGTGGTGACATTGTGATCCACCCTGAGCTTGTACTGCTTTGCCTGCTCTGCTGATTACATCCCACTTTGGCTATGGGGGTGTGTCAGAATGTTATTTGTCTAGCCTGCAGTGGGGTGCTCAATACTGAGTACAACCCCTTAGGGTTTTCTATTTGTGTGTCCTGCTGCTTGCTAGTCCATCATTCCTTCCTTCCAATTCTCCTTCCCAAACCCTAAGTCCTAGTTCTAAAGCACCTTGCCTACCTCCTAGTGTGGGCCTAGGCTACTAAGCCTAGGCCCCACCTCCTACTATTCTAACATGGCGCTGTTACTTGACCGTGTCAATGTTATTTTAAGTAAATGCTTGTGGTTTAGGTGTAGTGTATTTATCTTGTCTTCTGTTTGGTGGTGCACCTCAGTTTCTTGACTATATGTTGTATCTCTTTGCTATTATTCATCATTCTCTCCTTTTTCAACTTGCTCGATACTCAACTCACTCGACCTACTAGCTATGGCTCCTTAGCCTAGCTAAGAACTTTCACAGACCAGCGCAGAGATGACAGTACGGACAGACCAAAAATCCACACAGTACCTCCGTGCATAGCCCCACCTCAACCCACGACAGATTCGTTGGCTCGATTTTCTCGAGTCCAATTTTCACTACACGGTGACCTACAAAAGGGGAGCCTCAAACATCGCTGACGCACTGACCCGCCCCACTCCCTAGATCCATGTAATACTACTCGCCCAGACCAGCCCCCTAGTAATAGGCCTATTTAACCACGGGTACCAAACGGATCCATTCTTCACAAGAGGAAATTCGCAGCAGTTTGCAGCAGCAAAGGGAGTCTATTACGTGAAAGTCGGGACCGAGCGCATCTGGGTGCCCGGGTATACACTGCTACAGGAATTACTGTTACAGGAGGCATACGACAGAGTTACCTCGGGGCATTTCGAGGTAGAGAAAACACGGCAGCAGCTGCAGCGGTACTATTACTGGCCCGAGATGTTGACCGACGTACAACGACAGGTGGCATCGTCTCCCACTTGCCAGCTCATGAAATCATCACGGCAGCGGCCGGCAGGACAGTTACAGCCGATACCACCCCCAGAGCGTGCTTGGCAGCAGGTGACGATGGACTTCGTCACGGGGTTACCGGCCGGGGCGAGCGGGAACGACGCGATCCTGGTCGTCGTCGATCGACTGACGAAAATGGCACACTTCGCAACCTGCAAAAAATCAATCACAGCCGAAGAAACAGCACCCCTCTTCATCTCCACCGTCGTTCGACTGCACGGGATACCAGCAGCGATCATTAGCGACCGCGACACGAAATTCACCAGCAACTTCTGGCGGAACCTGTGGCAGCAGTTCCGCATGCGACTACAGTTCAGTTCTTCGTACCACCCCGAAACCGACGGACAGACAGAACGGACAAATCAGACTATGGAGCAACTCATCCGAGCCACGTGCGACAACCCAACCACCTGGGAACAACAACTGCCACTCATTGAGTTCGCATACAACAACTCACCATCCGCCACGACCCAACAGTCACCGTTTTACCTGAACTACGGACAAGACCGAACAGTACCCTTGACCCCGAATCCCGACAATCCAGTGCCACGAGCACAACAGTTCGCCGAAATTTTACAAGCAGCACGGACCCGTGCAGCAGGCGCAATAAAAAAAATCGAACATCATCGCTAACCGCCGCCGACGATGTCACTTACTAACCTGATGACCTCGTTTTACTCGACACTTAGAGCCTCCGCCTGCCCATCACCCCAAAACTCCGCCCCCGATGTTGCGGGCCATTTCGCATAAGCCACGTGATCACGCCCGTCACCGCCCACCTCCTCCTCCCCGCTGAATGGTACGTGAGCCTACTTCACCCTTACATACCGTCCACGAGCCAACTACCACGTAATCGCCCAGCCAGCCGACTGAACCAATCATCACACCCGAGAAAAATGTTGAGCCACAGAGTTCGTGACCCTCGAGGAGCCCGAAGAATCGAGTTCCTGATCTGTTGGAAAGACCGTACACCCACCGAAGACAACTCGGTTCCCCTGGACAGAGTCGAAAACCACCCCGTCCTCATAGAGTATTTACGCAGCCGAAACTTCAGGGATGTACACGCACTTTCGTAAGGAGGACCTCTTTAGGGGGGGAGGGGGTAGTGTAAGGAAAATTCCTTTTCCTTACTTCGCGTCCCCGTTCAGCGCGTACACCACTGTAGCACCACAGTCAGCACCGTTACCACTCGCAACCCTCGCATCGACAATCCTCCCACCACCTTTGCACGTCACACCCCGACCTCACGGCTCGGCGGGTAACCCGCGCTCCGGACCTCCGCTTCGACATTTCCCCAAACCTCAGTCCCAGGCCCGTCGCGCAACAACCACAGTCCATTACCGTTACCACTGTAGCGTCGCTATATATTCTTCGCTCATGCCTTCACTCATTGAACTCTTGTTTCGATAGTGCAATTCTAGCTAGATCACTCAATTTCACTCACAACAGTGTAACATGTTTGATTATCGTATGAAATAATGTTACGAGCCGTCCACAGCAGAGGTTGCCTTGCACACCCTCAACAACGGTAGTCCAGACCTGTGGCGAAAGGTGAAAAAATGGCGGGAAAGCACGACGCTGAGGCCCCCTAGCTCAACACCGACGTGTTGCCAGGAGTGTACGGCAAAGTGGGGATGAGGTGCCACGAACCTATTTGTCAAGCTTACCGCTGCCACGTCCGCTGACCGTTTGATTAACCTTAAACAAAACTCTGGAGCCCTCCCTCACCTGAACAAAACTCACGTTCCAGCACTTTACAAGATCGCTCAAAGCAGTGTAGGTACTGGCTTTTTAAGAGTTTGTTTTTAGAATTTCAAACTCCAGTTAGTGGGGGAAATTTCAGTAAACATTATCCGTATCGCCAGCCCATGCACAGGCCCAGATTCCTCTCCCTCCCTCCTCCCACACTCTCCCGCCACCCCATTTTCCTCCGCTGACCGCCAGCATGCATTCAGCTGCTGCCCAGACCGCTCCGCCTTGCTTGTCCCGCTCGGTCCGCTCTGCAGCATTGCTGCTCCAACTCTTGACAAGCCCCACTCCAAACTCTGTTCCACTTCTCACCCTGACTCTAGCCGCATTCTGGGACTAATTTTTTCGTCACTTGCCAGGAGCTTACTTGCGTCTTATCGTTCTCTTTATGGCTGTTGTTATGGGCTTGGAGACATGGTTATGGCGCCGCCTAATTATCTTTGGTTTGTCTTAGCCTGCCCTGCTTCTGCGCGTAGAGACGTCGCGATTCCTGGCTTGCAGTGCGACGTTTAGTACTCAACAATCCACCACGGTGCATTCCCCTACTTTCACTATCCTCGCATTGCCAGAGCATAGTCTAGTCTGTAACAATGTGCGAAACCAGTAATTCCGCCGGTACTCGCTGGCTTAGCTCAGGTTTGCCAGCCGTTTCCATCGCCTGGAGTCGCCAGTTTTGCTAACCGGATATTATAATTAATTCGAGTACGCCTTTACGTTACAGGACAGCCGCGCCGCCCCTTTTAATCGCACGTTGCTTCGTCGCTAGTCGTAACATTAAGTCGACTCGAGAAGCTCAATAGTCACCCGTGGAAAAGGTTGTCGTCAGTAATTCCTACTGCACACTCAAACCCACTCCCACTCTCGCACTCCCACTTTCTCACTCCCAGTCTCACTCTCACACGCGCACGCCGCCATGACGACAACGAGCAGTGGTGCCATTATTCCCTGGTGGACCACGCTCGAGTTCGGCGCCCCGGGAACCCTCCTCTACCGCCTCCTCTTCCTCGACAGCCAATACCGCGCCTTTTCCCCCTGGCACGATATCCCGCTCTTCCTCTCCGCGTATCCCGCCGCGGATCCCAAGGCGCCGAGCGCGATTCCCCCGCCGCCGGGCGTGCAGGAGAACTGCACGTTCGAGCAGGGCTTGTCGTTTCTGTGCGTCACGCCGCGCGGTATCTGGGCCAACTTTGAAGTCGCGGACGACGAGAATTTCAATCCCGTTCGCCTGCTGAAGCGCAACGGCCGCCCCGCGCATTACGCGGAGAACTGCCAGTGGAACCTGGGGATCTTCACGCAGACGTGGGCGGATCCCGCGGCGCCGAATGAGGATCTGGGCGGGATGCGCTTCGACGGGCGGCCGCTGCAGGTGATCGAGCTTGGATCGCGGACGGCGCGGACGGGGGAGGTGTATTCCGTGAAGCCGCTCGCGGCTTTCGCGGCGATTAGCCAGGGAGCGAATATCGCGTGGAAAATCGTCGCAGTCGCGACGGACGACCCGTTGGCGAAAGAGCTGAACGACGTGGCTGACGTCAGCAGGAAGTTACCCGGCGTGCTGGAGGAGATTAGGGAGTGGCTGCGGCTGTGCGACTGCACGGAGAAAGGCGACGCGGGGAAGGCGTTCGGGTTCAACGAGCGCGCCAAGGGGCGCGATCAGGTGCAGGCGTGCATACGCACGTGCCACGTGGCATGGCAGGCCATGTTTCACGCGCTACCGAAGCCCGAGCCTTGGCTCCCGCGCTCGCGGCCGCCGAAGATGAAGACTATAGAAGCGTTCTGGGCGCCTTACACGGCGAAATACGTCAGCGATGGCGGCGGCGTGGCTAGTATCTTCGTCAGTGATCCTGACTGGGAGGAAAAAGTGGCGGAGGCGGAACAGGCGCGCGCGAAAGGGGGAGCCGGGGGAGCAGGCGCGGGGAGGGGGAGGGGAAGAGGGGGAGCGGCGGATAGGGGCGCGCCAGGAAGAGGCGCAGCAGGGGAGGTAAATGATTCGGTATGGGAGACGTTATCTACGGTTGAGACCGTTGGTATGCTGGAGAAGCTGAGGTCGCGGAAGCATCTGAACCGTCCAGCTTTCTTCGCGATGGTCGATCGTGTGGTCACGGACGATTCCTCCGCAAAAGACGGCAAGGGCAGGGCGGGGAAGAAAGGCGGCAGGCTGCTTACGCGGAAGGGCAGCGGGATGGCCGACGGGGAGGCGGGCGCGGACGAGGTTGCGCGGTCGCGCTCGCCGTTCCTGCTTGCGCGCTCCAAGAGTACGGAAGCCGCTCCGCCGATGGAGATCAGCCGCCCGTCCACTGCGCCGTCGGCGCAAGCTAACAAGCCGGCAGCGGGAGCGGCGGGCGCAGCGGGGAAAGCAGGGGGGGGAGCAGCGGAGGGAGCAGCGGGGGTAGCGGGCGCGCCGGCTGCAGGCGCGGCGTCGAAGCTGCGCCCTGGTACCGGGGGGGTCGGGGGCAAGGTTGCGGGGGGGGCGGGGGGGAAAAGCGGGGGGGGCGGGCGCAAGTGGCGGAGCCGGCGCTGGCGCCGCCGCTGCTGCAGGAGCGGCGGACGCCGCCGGAGCAGGAGGCGGAGTGGCGGGTGCGCCGGGAATCCCGCCCGCCGCCCCCGTGGTCTCCGCGGCTGCCAGGCGCGCGGCTGCTGCCGCCGCGGCGAAGGCCGCGGGGCGCGGCGCGGGGAAAGCCGCAGGAGGCGCAGCAGCAGGAGGGGCAGCAGGGACAGCGGGAGGAGCGGGAGTGGGGGGAAATAGTGACGTTTCCAAAGGGGAAAACAGGCCTGGTGCTGCAGCGGAGGCTAAGGGGAACGGGGAAGGGCAGGGCGGAAAGCAAGGGGAGGAGGCTAGCAACGCCAGTATTGCTCAAACCCAAACCGGCAAGAGCTTTAGTTTCTCCCACGGCCTGAACGCGCATGGTATTATTCCCAAGTCGGTGAGTGGGATGAGTGCAGTGACTGCAGGGAATGCAGGGAATGCGGGGAATGCGGGGAGTGCAACGTCTGGGGTGAATGCGCGGAGCGCAGTCCCTCGGTCTGCTACTGCTGGCGCTGCTGCCGCTGCTATTGTTGCTGCTGCTGCTGCTGCTTCAGGCGAGGGGGGCTTTGGAAAGAAGGTGGAGCAAATGCAGAGCGGGAAACAGGGGATAGAGGGGAAAGAAGGGAGAGAGGGGAAAGAGGTTGGGAATGCGGATGAGTTGAGTGGTAAAAGAGGGGTTGAGAGTGGTGAGAGTGGGGGAGATGGGGGAGGAGGAGGAGGGCAAGACGAGAGGGGAGGAGGTGGAGGGGAGGGAGGGGCAGGAGGAGCAGACGGGGGCGGAGAGAGGAGCAACGGTGAGAAAGGGTTTAGAAAAGCCTTTATGGCTGGAGTGAGGAGCGCAGAGAAGGAGCAGGAGCAGCAGGAGCGAGGGAAGGAGGGGGAGAAGAGCCCAGGGGGGAAGGGTGGTGGTGGTGCTGCTGGCAGCTCTGCTACTGGTGGTGGCGCTGCCGCTGCTGGTGCTGCTGCCGCTGCTGCTGCTGCTGCTGCTGCTGCTGCTGCTGCTGGTGGTGGTGGTGGTGGTGGTGGTGGTGGTGGTGGTGGTGGTGGTGGTGGTGGTGGTGGTGGTGGTGGTGGTGGTGGTGGTGGTGGTGGTGGTGGTGGTGGTGGTGGTGGTGGTGGTGGTGGTGGTGAGAGAAGGCGGGAGGGCGAGGGGCGAAGAGAGGAGGAGGAGTATCACGAAGATGAGTATGAAGAGCTGAAGAGTGGGGATGAGGGGGGAAGGGAGAGGGGCGATGAAGGGAGCGGAACGGAGGGCGAGGAGGGGGAATGGGGGAGAGGAAAGCTTGTGAAGGGGCGGGGAACGGCTGGGGGGGGAGGAGGGGGAGCGCCTACTCTTCCCCCCAGGTCCCCCCACGGCCGCCCCGCCAGTGGGGGGGAAGGGAGGCCGCGGAGCAGCGGAGGGTTTCGCGGGGGAGGCGCGGGGGGAATGGGCGGAGGGACGTGGCCGGTTTCCCCAAGGGGGGGATGGGGAGAGGAGGGAAAGGGGTGGGGGAGAGGAGGGAAAGGGGAGGAAGAGATGAGGTCACCGAGGGGAGGGGGGGGGGTCACCGAGAGGAGGGGGGGGGTCACCGAGAGGAGGGGGGGGGTCACCGAGAGGAGGGGGCGGATCACTGTACAGAGGAGGAGGGTCACCATACCGCGGGGGAGGCGGAGGCGGAAAGGAAGGGGGAAGGGAAGGGGGAGGGACGTCCCCGTATAGGGGAGGGAGGTCGCCGTATAGAGCAGGCGGGTCACCTTATAGAAGGGACAGGTCGCCTTATAGAGGGGGAGGAGGGGGAAGAGATGAGGAGATGGATTATCATCGGTCTAGCACTGAAGTTGACTACCGGAGGCGGTTTGATATGAAAGACCTGGATGAGATGGGGGGAGGGGCAGGCGGAGGGGGGTCGGGGGGAGGAGCAGGAGGGGGGAGGGAGAGGAGGAGAGCAGAAGCATTTGAGACGGAGGAGATGGAGCTGCAGCGGGCACTGACAGGACAGACGGAGAGGCAGCGCATGGTGAGTGCGTGCTATGTGTTATCTGTGTTGACTGAGTTGATTGGGTTGACTTTCGAGTCGACTAAACAGTCAGCGCATGGTGAGTCTGTGCTATGCGATGTGCGATGCATGGAGTTGAACTGAATGGTAAGTGGTTGTTAGATGGCCCCTACTCTCACGGGGCTGAATGCAAGAGGCGTGTTTGGGATGGAGGAGATGGAGCTGCAGCGGCAGGCGCTCACGGGGCAGACGGAGAGGCAATGACGCATGGTGAGTGTGCCTGCCCCTCAGTGCAAAGCAATGGGCTTCGTGGTGTCATGTGCCTGAGCAAATGAGCACGTGTGAATATGCATGCATATGTGAACATGCATGCATATGTGAACATGCATGCATATGTGAACATGCATGCATATGTGAACATGCATGCATATGTGAACATGCATGAACACGTGAACATGCATGAACACGTGAACATGCATGAACACGTGAACATGCATGCATATGTGAACATGCATGCATATGTGAACATGCATGAACACGTGAACATGCATGCACATGTGAACACGCATGTACATGTGATGATAGTGCAGCAGCAAAGTCATTCAGATAGGCTATCCAGTAACGAGGCAAGCACGGCATGAAAGCGTAATAGACTCTTGAGAGTTATGTGCAGTTGTTGAATCAGAGGGGCTATTTACAGTGTGACACTAGCACAGCAATGCCTCTGATGAGGCGTCTTAAAGATCAAGCACAGCACTGCGCCAACTAGTATTGCTGCTTCTTCCTCTTATCGTTCCTGCCTTGCTGCCTCAAACCCACGCTGCCTCAAACCATCTCTGCCCCAGCTGTTCTTGTGTGCCGTTTTTTTTGTTCTCGACGATTCCTGAAAACTCTCAGAACGTGCGTGGCCTCTCTCGCGTTCCCAGTCATGCACGCCGCTCTCTCTCCCCGTTCCCCTCCCGTGCGCAGCCTTCCTTCCTCTCGCCCCCTTATCCTCTCATCCTCCCATTCCCCAACCCGCGCATCCCCACAGGAGGCGTCACAGAAGCAGCAGGCACGGGGAGGCGCATGGGCAAGACCTAAGTGGGCTAACGAAGGCTCTGCTCTTAAGGCGCCTCAAAAACCCCCATGTTCCCACCCGGCCCACCCGCGCATCCCCACAGGAGGCGTCACAGAAGCAGCAGGCACGGGGAGGAGCATGGGCAAGACCCAAGTGGGCTAACGAAGGCTCTGCTGCTGCCGGTGGTGGTGCTGGTGGTGCTGCTGGTCGCAACAGCAACACTCGCGGGGAATACGGCGGCATGGGAGGGGGAGCAGGAGGGGGGAATACAGGCAGCTCGTACCTATTGCAGCGAGAGCAGATGCGAGCAGAACTCCTGCACCAGTCCCTATTGGGGTACCGAAGTGGTGGTGGGGGTGCAATGCCAGTACCCCCTTTAGTGCGAAGGGCTAGTATGGAGTCGATAGAGAGGAGCGAGAGGAGGAGACAGCTGAGGGAAGAGGCAGAGGCTGCGATAGGCCAGGGGGGCGGGTATGGTGGGTACGGAGGGGTGAGGGGGGGTTACGGAGGAGTGGGAGGCGGTGAGAGGGAGCGGCGGGGTGGTGCGGATTCGTACCTGTTGAGGAGTTTCACAGGGGAGCAGAGAGAGAGGGGGCAGGAGCGGGGGAGGGGGGGCGGAGGAGCGGGGGATTATGGGGATGAAGATGGGTATTCTCGTGGTGGTGGTGGTGGTGGTGGTCGGGGGGATAAGGATGCTGGGGATGGGGGCTATAGCCGTTCTTACACAGGAGGGTCGATAGAATCAGCTGGCTCTGGTTCTGGTGGTGGTGGTTATGGTGGTAGCAACGATCGCTATGATAACTATGGGGATGATTACTCACAAGGAGGAGGGTACAGAGGAAGGGAAGGCGAGCGAGAGAGAGCAGGAAGAGGGGGAGAAAGGGGCAGATATGACGACGACGACGAAGACCGGTACCGGAGAGGAGGAGGGGGGGCGAGGAGGAGAGGAAGCGTGTCTCCTGTGGGCACTCGCAAGCTTATGGCCTATGGAGATAGGATAGATGGGATAGATGGGATAGATGGGATGGATGGGATGGATGGGGCGGACAGGACATATAGGACCGAGGGGCAAAGACAGGGCAGAGGAGGAGGTGGAGGGGAGGAGGATGGGGCGGGGTATGTGCGGAGGGGGGTGGGGGGAAGGCGGGCTTCTTTGAGTCCTGTTGGGAGAAGGGAGGGGGGTGGGCGGGGGAGGTATGAGGAGAGGGATAGGTATGGTAGCGATAGGGAGTGAGTGTGGATGGCGGGGAGGGGAGGGGGTGAGTTAGGGAGACGACCTCTCTTGCGTGCCCATACAGCCCCCACTTGCTCATTCTCTCCCTCTCTCCCCCCTACTATCTCTCTCGCCCTCATTCCCTCCACCCTCCCTCTCTCGCTCCCCCTCGTCTCCCTCCCTCCATCCCTCTTTACGTCTATTCGCCCTCCCTCCTTCCTCCATCCCTCCCTCCCTCCCAGTAAGGGTAAGGAATCTAGTGGTTGGCCGAAGGAGTTAGGTGAGGTGATAAGGCAACTGTGTAGGCGAATGACGAGGTGCGTGTAACACAGTATGTATTTGATAAATCAGCCGGTTCACTAACTGTAGCTTGATGCTATGATATTTAATGTGCACTTAGGCATGGATACACACGGGTGGCTGTATCTTAGGGCACTGCTGCAGTGTGATTTCTAGGATTGATTGCACTAGCTGTACCTGCAAGCAGAGCTGACGTTTCAAAAAAACCTACTCTGAGAGCAGGTAAAAAAAATTCCAGTCTAGTCTGAAGCACATTTTCCCCAACTTCCTTGAGTCTGATTTCACAGGATTGGTTCAGGGTTTAGTCTGAGGTGGTCATTATTCAAATTCTAAAATCAGACTTAAATCAAACTAAGTTAAAATGTCCTGGCATGGCAATCATCCATTGAGTCTCAGATCAGATGCATCCTTCCTTCCTCCTACCTACAGCTATCACCTACCTACAGCAATCACCTACCTACCTACCTACAGCTACAAATAATCTTAGGTCTCACTCAGGCTGATCCATGCCTATCTCCTCCACATCCTCCTCCTCCTCATCCTCCTCGCGGAAAGGGTCGTCGTCCAGCTCCTGGTCCTCCTCCTCCTCATAGGCCTCCTCCTCATCGTCGTCCGCATCCGACTCATCACGATCCCACTCCAGCCCGCGCACAACCCTCTCACGTTCCTGGTCGTCCGCCAGCTCCTTCCCCTTGCGCTTCCTCTCTGCTGCAGCGAAGGTTGGAGTCTTGGCAGGGCGCCTTGGCTTCTCCTCACGCCATTTGGCGAGGGCCGCGTTCCAGTCGATCTCGTAGTCAAGTAGGGAAATCGTCATCAGCTCCGCCAGGCGCGCGTTGCCTAAAGAGCCTCTCACCCAGGTCTTGATGACGTTCTGGCGTGAGAATCCACGCTCGCATTCAACGGTTGACAGCGGCATCACGGCAGCGGCTTGCCACAGCCGCATGATGTTGGGCCAGCGCCTCAAAATATCACACACGAGCATTAACATACCGGTTAGCAGAATGTCACAATTGCGTGAGAGAAACACAGCTAGCCCCGCCACATCGTATTACATACCTGGCGGACTCAGCTACACCCATGAAATTCTTCAGCCCTTGAAAAAACCCCTCATCCTCGTGGTGCGCCGCCATGATTGGAGCCCACGAGCCAAGCTCCATCTCGGCTGCTCGCAGGTCGAAGCCAGGGAGCTTGTTGTCGAAGATAGCAGCGCATCCGTGTAGGTACTCTCGCGTCTTGCGGTCGCGCTGCTGCCGAGGCTTGGGCCACTTGGCTGCTCGAAAGAGCTTCGTTGGTGCTAGCTTGCGTAGATCAGCAAGGCGGAAGTTCAGCCGGTTCACACACTCTTGAGCGAATTTCGTGCACAGCTTCGCGCACTCCGTGTACGTGCTGCCGTAAGCGTGCCCCTTAATCTTCCTCTCATGAAGCTTGTACTTGTGCGTCACTGCTTCACCTTCGCTGTCAACTCCGCGCACCTTCACCTTCTTCTTCGGAACCTTCCCGTGCAATGTCAGGAACTCAGACAGTGCCGGGCTTTCTCCGCCGCCCAACAAGTCCTCGCACTCCAGGTAGCGCCTGCGCAAGTCCCCGGTGGCCTCGTCAATGTCCTTGGCGATCTCGGTCACGTCGACCTGATTCGGATGGGGAGGTGTGCAAGACATGTTAGTAACGGTTTAGAACAGAGGTGGTTTAGGATACAAGGGAACAATGCGGTCAACCTTACCTCACGCTTCTGAAACTTCACGTTGAGCTCGTTCATGATGCCAAGCACATCTGCAAGAAAGAAAAGGCAGAACTGAAACTTATACGAGGTGACGGTCTCGTACAACTTGTGCTTGCTCTCATGCAAGAGCACGATCGATGCACCGAGGACCTTGCAGAAACGACGGACAGCCACACCGCGCGATAGCCACCTGACCGCGTGGATGCCTTGAACTTCAAGGTTGGTTTTGTGAATCGTGCGCTGCAGGTACTGAAAGCGCTGGCTGACGTTGCTGGAGTTCGTCAGTAGAGATGCCACAGCCCGAATCACTCTGTCAATCATGTCCAGATCTGGGCATGCAAGGGCAGCGTCCTTAACTGCTAACGCCTCCCTGCACAAGCACATTCAAAAGAGGTAATCGGTTAGTAAAGCGTACAAGGTACATGTTCATGGGCAATATAGATAACCGTGGAACCAACTAACCTGTGCGCGATACAATGTGAGGAGATCAGGTGAGGGATGTACTCCCGTAGACGAGGGACCAGGCCGTTGTCACACCCAACCATCACCGATGCACCGTCGGTGCTGATAGCGCAGATGCGGTTGATGTCCACTCCGACAGTCTGCAGATGACTCATGATGACTGAGAGCAGGGACGCCGCGTCACCCTTCTCAACAGGTAGGTGTGCAAAGAACTCAGTAACGGGCCGGTTGAAGCGAAGGAACGTTAAGTAGATGATGAGGTGTTTCCCTCGCGTGCGATCCGTGCTCTCGTCGCAGCTGATGCCCAAAAACGGAGAGCTCTGGATGTGTCGCAGCTGAGTTGAGAGAAGCAGAGACGAAAGGCAGTGCACCATCTCTTGGAACCCGTAACTGCATGGAAACAGTGCCACATAAATGCGTTAGTATTTGAAGTAGTGAGTACTTGATTAACTCGAAGGCACACGCGGTACTCACCGAGTAAGATACACGCCGTACGCCTGCCTTGGAATGTCCGGCGTGTCCTGCTCAGACATGAAACGTAGGAGGCGAGCGAACATCGAGATTGGAGCATCGACCTTACAGATGAACTCAGTGGCACGCAGAAGGCGAATCACCCTCCGCCCTTCCACGTCCCTCGTTGTGAAATCGTCGATCTTCTTCTGCTTGCCGTCCAGCGACTCTTCGATCTCCAACTGCCGCTCCACTGCCTCTTTGTGGACGTTGGAGTGCTCGTGTATCCGCATCGTCTGCGTTTGTAAGTCGCGCGCTCCGTCGCCAGGGCCTGAATACTTGGTGGTCTCCTTGCCAAAGGCACGGCAGATGCAGCACTTGAGCGAGGGATGCCCATCCTGGGCACGCACAAGCAGAAGCCATGGGAAAAACGGAAGCCACTTCGAGTGGTAATTCGCCTCAGCCAGAAGCCACTTCTGCTCAATCTCCTCCTTCTTAGACAACTTAGGAGGAGGTGGCTTGTCGGGCGTGGCCACAGCCGGCGCTGAAGGGGGTGGAGATGGTTTGCGGAATCTACCGCCAGTAACCATCGTGCTCTGAACCCATTTCTGGGTACTACGCTTCTGCGCAACTGATTTGGTGACTGACGGCACGCTGTACCGAACGGTAGATGCAGTGCGCACGGTGAGTGGGATGGGGCCCTTACTAGACGACGCTATGGCGGGCGCTAAGACTATTGGAGTTGGCGTAGGGGAGGCAGGCGTGGTGGCAGGAACAGTATCGTGTATGACCGCCGTTGCTGCGGGGCGTAGGCAGTCTAGCCCCGACCTACCCACACCCTCCTTGGTAGTAGGGTGGTCAGCATCAGGTGAATCGGGCCGGTCGCGTTCTTGGTCCGTCATGGGAGGAGTCACTCGAGCACTAACTGGAACACTGCTGGGAGAGCCAGCCGAGGAAACATAGTCAGCGTGGTGAAGGGAGCTATGAAGAAGAAGGACCCCGTGGTCCTCAAACCAATTGATGGGTGGCTGGCTGTTGCCGTTGGTCTCGAGCCGCCATGCCCGTCACCTCTGCAGTGCTGTACCGTGCAGGACAGAGCGCGTAGTGATGGCACGGTGCAGCTTTCCCGCTGACACAGCGTTGCAGAGATATCACGGTTGCCACGTGCAGCGTGGCACAGGGGGCACCGAGTCGGTCAAGGGGTGGCAAATTTGCCAAGTTCAGATTTCGCATGTGACAGCAAGGAGATTGTCATGATGGCACGGCAACATGTGACGTTGCGGAAGCTTCCTAGTACGTACATATCCGGTTTCCAGGATCCGTACGCTACTTAGTCTGAGGGATCATTATTGGCATAGGCAATACTCTGAAATTCTCAGTATTCGGAAAACCACAACTCTGAGGTGCTCATTATTGGAAAATCACCAAGTCTGGAAAATCAGGAACCATTGAAAAATAGTCTGTCAGATCAGACAATCAGACCATTTTAGTCTGATAAAATCAGCCCTGCCTGCAAGCAATAGGCTTGAAACATAACCTACCGGTAGATGTCTGACAAGGTTTGACAAATCAGGATGCCATCTCCTCATTCCTACTCAATATTGAGGTTGCCAGAATGTTATTGAATATAAAGAGATTACAAGTGTACCATTGAGAATAGTGGACAAAACATAACCAAACATAATTGGTTGGTCTGGTCAGTGGAGAAGCCAATATCGAGTTTTATTTGCGTGCACGAATACGCTGGTTTCCAGCTCCAAAACTGCAACCTGCACTTCGTTCCCTCCACAGCACAACCGTTACGATCTGCAGTGAACTGTTGGTTTATATCCTGTGAGGGGAAAGAACAGGGAGGAGGATTAAATGGAAGAACCGAATCAATGCTTTAAGGAGTCATGCCTTTGTAGACGGTTGTGCAGTGCATGTGCGCGCGCGCGTGTGTGTGCGTGTGCGTGTGTGTGCGAGTGCGTGTGTGTGTGTGTGCATGTGCGTGTGCGTGTGTGTGCATGTGCGTGAGTGTGTGCGTGCGTGCGCGCGCGTGTGTGTGTGTGTGTGTGTGTGTGTGTGTGTGTGTGTGTGTGTGTGTGTGTGTGTGTGTGTGTGTGAGTGTGTGTCTGTGTGCGTGCGCGCGTATGTGTGTATGTGAAGGGAGAAAGTGATAGATGTAAGGGGAGGCAAGGCAAGGAAAACAAATAGCTGGAAACTAATCAGGAAGGAAGGAGGTACATGGAGAGGGAAACGAATGGTATGCATATACTGCTGACAGAAAACTCACCTTTCGTTGACCAAAAACAGAAATAACAGAAGAATATGTACCCCTCATAACCATGCCACACACCTGTGATTGCACCTCAATGTATGACTTGCATCCCACTGTCTCTCATAGTCCTTGGTCATCAGATCTAGCTCTGGATCCTGTCAGTGCTGCCATTTCCTGTTCCCTTTCACCAACCCCGTCCCTCTCCTCCTCTTCCTCCTCACCCACCCCATACCTCCCCTCCTCCACCTTCCCTCTCCAATGCCGTTCCCTCCCATCCTCCACCATCCCCAACCCTCCTCCTCGTGGTGACAACGCAGCAGCAATAGCAGCAGCAGCAGGCAGGGGGCCAATCCTGGCCGTCGCTTTTGATGCCTCAGCGCCCCAATCAGTGGACAGCACAGCAGAAACGGTGAAGAAGCTACAAGTAACAACCGCCCCAAGCAGCCCTAGCACCAGTCCCAGCAACCCTAGGTCCGCTAGAAAGCATAGACCAAGGCCCAATGGCAAACCGAGGACGTAAAACGCTCCCAGATTGACATACATCCCCACGTCCGGCCGCCCACAACCCCTCAGCAACCCTGTCATGACCGTCTGCACCGAATTGAAAACCTCAAGAAGCCCTAGAATCGGCAGCAGCGCAATGACAACTTCAAGCACAGCCGCATCTGAGGTGAACACGTGGCCTAAGGCTTCTCTAGCCGCCCAGAGAACAGCTAGCTGGGTAATACCCAGCATTAAAGAACAGCCCAGGGCAACTAGTGCCGCGTTCCGCGCTAGGATCGGGAATGCCGAGCCTAGTAGGTTCCCTGCTCTGGTGCCTGCTGCGGCAGCCAGGCCGGCAGTGAGCGAGTAGAGAATCGAATCTAGGTTGAAGAGGATGGCAAGGGAGGCAACTGATGTCGTGGCGTCTGGAAGGAGGCCTGAGAGGAGCATGCAGAGCTCGTAGCACCACCACTCGAGGCATATGGTGGCGCAGGCTGGGAGAGACATGCGGATAAGCGGGCCCCATTGCGCTAGGGAGGAGGGGCGCGCGGAGAGATGGCGCGTGGGGGAGAGAGGGGAGGCGGGGGAGGTGGGGGAGGTAAGAGGGCGGGGGGACCGGGGGGAATGGGGGGACCGGGGGGAACTGACTCCTGATTCTGCTGCCGCGGCTGCTGAGGTGAGAGGCGAGGCGGAGAAGGAGAGGGGGACGAGGAGGCCGCACCTCCGTGGCACGTCAGTGAAGCAATGCAGATAAAACAGCATCAGCAGCCAGAGGAACAGATCGGAGATCGATGCAGCAGCAGCAGCGCCAGCACAGCCGAGCCTCACAGGCCCTGCGACCAGCAGCGCCGTCGCCAGCACGTGCACTGCGAGCGACAGCGCAGCCCCAACCAGCACAGGGCGAACTATACCCTGCGCGCGCAAGAAAATCCGCAGCGGGTTGACTAGCGCGGAAAGGAACAGGTCGGGGAGAAGCCAGAGGATGAAGGTCGTGGCTTCAGACACTAACGGCGCGTCTTGTCCCGCTGCGAGGAGCAGCCATTGGGAATTCGACCAGATGATCGCGATGGGGATAGACGCGAGCGTGAGGAGCAGCGTCGAGCGGCGCAGCAGCAGCCCCATGGCTCTCGGCTGCTGCGCGCCGTGCGCCTGTGCGCACAAGGGCTCGATCCCGGAAGCGAGGCCGATGAGCAGTGAGAAGCCCGTGACATTAGTGAAGGTGATTGCAACGGCGGCGGCTGCGAGCTGCAGGGTGCTGCGGCGGCCGAGGAACGCGAGGGAGAAGAGGAAGCGCGCGAAGCTGAGCAGATTCGCGGCGGAAAGAGGCGCGCCGAGCTCCATTTGGTCGAGGATCTCCCCCCAGATTTGCCAGCACGACGGCCACCCGCGGTACGCGCGCTCCATCTCGTGCTCGCGGAGCCGCTTCTCCGCTTCTCTTCCGCCGCGCCCCAAGCGCGCGCCTGCACCGTGCAGGTAGTCGTCCGCGCGCAGGCCGTTTTCCGCGCGTGCTGCGCCGAGGTGTGCGGAGCGGGAGCCCGCTGCGGGCATGAGTGAGTCAAGCTCGCCATCGCGGCTGTCGGCTAATCCTGACCGTCCGTCTGGTCCGGCGGATCTCGCGAGATGCGCGGATTCGACGTCGTAAGCACCCGTGCGATGCGCTGGCACGTCGTCATCGTCGTCCCAGAAAGAGTCTGCGCGGGGGAAGAGATGCGGAAGGAAGGAAGCGGCAGTCGCGCGGGGAGACAGGGGGGAAATCAAATGAGATAGCGGAGGACCACGGGAGGGTTGACAGGGACCAAGGCGTAGAATGGTAGAAGGGAAAAAATGATGGAAGGTAATTGCAGGCAAAGCCTCTCAGAAGGCTAGAAGAAGCTACGAGAGATCAACTCGAAGCTTGCTTCTTGGGTGATGCACATGCGTTCTCCCAGGCGTAGGAAAGGGTATGGGGTGAGTTGAGCAACTGTCAAGCGACCGTTTGAGCAATCCCTGAGCGTCAGTCGAACTACGGCGTCGCACTACGCACCTGCTGACTCGCGCGACAGCGTTGACGACACCGCTTTCGACGCCATGGACGTCTCGGCCACTCCTTTAGAACCCACTAAACGACGCTGGTTCACGACGACAAAGCGGACAGATGATCTGCCTGAAATGGATGCGTTATCGTTGCCGGAAAGGTCTTTTCGGCTTGAAATATTAGAGCAATCGGCTCATGGGGACGATGCGGTGAGTCGCAAGCGGATCGCAAGTCAGAGCCAGAGGAGACTCGAGACGATGGAGGAGGAAGAACCGAGACATTGCTAGTTGTGGGAGTAGGACCTAGGAAACATCTCAATTAGGATGTGAGTGTCCACGTGGCAGAGAATTTACGTGAGGCGATCGGAGCGGTCGGTGGATGACTCTGAAGCACATCCGCCGTGGAAAGCCAGTAGGACAATTCCTTTTCTTCCCGGGATGGCACGATCAGCGAGGCTACGCGCGTAGATGCCAAAGGTGAACTCAGAAACTGTCTTATCTACGCAACCTGCGTGATGCAGCAGCGACACATGGATTCCATGGCCTGCAAAAGCCAAGGAATAAAATGGCATTCCCAAAGTTGAGTTGAGGATAGTGAGGCAGATCCAAGGCGTCAAGTCGTCAAAGGGTCTTGCGACTACAGTTCAGTACTGGGTCAGTCTTGTACTGGGTCCTAGTAGTACTGGATCGAGCTCCGATATTATCTTGGTCTCGCAGAGTTACGAGTCCATCCAGAACACCACGGATTTTACTATATCGAGGACGACGACCTCGAGGTGGTAACTCTGAGAGTTTTGTTGACGCGCAGCGAGCGAAACATTCCTTCAGCGTAATTCGCAACCAACCATAGGAAACTGGGCGACCGTGGAAGCTGATGCAAGAGTCGTCGTTTACCTAATACAGGAACTTTCTATTCACAAAGCACAACCCAGAGCATCATATGAGGACTATTTGCAAGTGGCGTTTTCGTACTTAGTGAATACCTATATCCTACTTACACACATACAGCATCCCCTAGTGTCATGCTGACAAAACCAGGCTCACATGCAGAAGAGTTCACTTCCAGTGAGCCTCACGCACTATACAACGTTGCAAGTTGAGGGTCCCTAGCCAGTACATTAATTTCATCGCCAATTGATAGCTCTGTGAGGGAAAGTTGCTCCGGAACAGGGTGTGAAGTGCATGAAGGCTGGAATACAACATTCATGCCGAAAAATACGTCTTGCAAGCTTGTTGGAAGGCCCAGGTCTTTTCCTCGTCGAAACTTGAGGAGGGTCTGACAGTGGGAGGGGACAAGGGAGAAGTGAAGAGAGCTGTGCACAAGGGGATGTTCGAGAAAAGGAAAACACAAGAGGGTGCCGACAGAGAATTTTGCAAAGAAAACAAGAGCTGGCTTGCAAGGGCAACGATGTCCTCCTACTGAAGCAAACCAATCCAGAAAGACATTGCCAAATAGAACGTATCGACAACTGGAGCCCTATGGAACCCTCACTCGCTAAGACTTCACTACTGCAGTGACACCAAAGCATGGGACGGGCGCGGACGGTATATGAAATGGTACCAAACAGCGTGAGCAAACAGTGGTACCTGAAGGGGCTCCTTGCCGGATTCAGCTGTGAGCTGGTCGATTGTAGTGATCTGTCACAGTGGCAGTGCAGCGAAGGGGTGCGAGGAGGGGGACAATGAGAACGAGTTGCAGAATGGAGGGAGCTATTCTTCAGGCGCCTACGAAACGGAGCAGAGGGGAGCGATGGGAAAGAGTTGAGACGTGGCAATGGGGAGAGGTTAAAGAGCGGTAGTGCAATGTGTGAGGGGAGTAGCGTACAGAAAGGGGAGCGGAAGGTAGGGGAGAGAGAGATGGGACGGGGAAAGAGACGGGAATATGTGCAAAGATTGTAAGCATTTGCAAGAGACGTGCGCGGACTGAAAGGTTGATTGACGAATCCCAAGTTGACTCAGGAGAATGGCGGATGGCTTTTAAGGTGACTCAGAAGATTAGAGGATGACACCTGACGTTGCCCACTCACAGACCCATCTCCCCACAAGCATTGCACCACTCCCCACAAGCATTGCCCACAAGCATTGCACCACTCCCCACAGCCACCGCAGGCAGAACAATGAAACCCCTGACATGCATCGCACGTGTGTGTGTGTGTACCCACCTTGCATCTCGAGCACGGCTTCACTCCACGAAACACACCAGCCGAGGCAGCACCAGAGCTTTCACACCCAGACCCAGACCCAGACCCAAGGCTCTCATCCGCCTCCTCCCCTGCTGCTGTGTTGCTGCTGCGTGCTATGGAGAAGCTGCGCCACGTGTCCTCATCAAATGGCTCGCACCCCTCCACCACTATGCTGCCATGCCATCATGGCGTGACGGGGGCACGATGGCGGTGGGATGGGGGTGTGATGGGGGCAGGATGGGGGTGGGTCGAAATCAATCCATGGAAACAAGAATAATACCATGGATTGATTCCATGGTATGGAATGTTCCGCATGTGAGGAGAGGAGTCTATAGTGTGCGGTGCCTCCACAAGAACGAGAAGGACAACGAAGAAAGGGCATGAGAGAGTCGTACTTGGGTCGGAAGCGGTTCATGGGAATGGGGTCGGAGAGGCGCGCGTTGAGCAATGAGAGCGACGGCTGAGGTAGACATAAACGGGGGCTCGGAAGAGGGAGATTGCAGGGGTTGGTAGCAAGGATTTGGTTAGGGCAAGGGCAAGGAAAATGTGGGAAGGGATATGGAAGGACAGGGGAGGGCGAGGGGAGAGTGTGATGGGAGAGCCTGAGGGGGGGGGGGAGCTGAGCTGAGCACCCACTTCTCCCCTCCTGCAGCCAGCTCGTGCGTGGATGGATGTAGAGGTTGTCACCTTCGTGACAGAAGAATGGGGTCTAGCGTCTGCGGCTATTCAAGACTTCAAGTTGACTCAACAACAGGTTACTCCAGCACATGTTGAGCCGACTCAACGCATTCTAGGTTGACAACAAGGTTCCTTCGGAATAGGCTTGTTTCGGTAGCCAGCAGCAACAGAGTGATAAGGTGAAGGGAGGGGAGGGGAGGGTACCTGGGAGAGGAGCAGCATGGGGTAACCATCAGCGAAGGACATCGAGTTTTGAGTCGACTTAAAAAATGATAAGGTGGGGTGGGGTGGGGTGGGGTGGGGTGGGATGGGGTGAGGTGAGCGCACCTGGGAGAGGAGCAGCATGGGGTAGCCATCAGCGAAGGACGTCTGGAAGCCCTCTGCAAAGGCAGCGTTGGTAGGCCGCACCACATGCGCTGACGTGTTGTTGTGTGGGGGCAATGGGGGGTAGGATGGAGGCATCGAATGAATAGCAGTAGAGGACTGGAAGGGCGGCAGCAGAGGGGAAAAGCACAGAGGTTTGAAACCCCGCAAGAGAGTTGGGTGGGAGAGAAGTTGAGAGCTGCTGCCTGAGACTCACTGACAAGCAACGGCTCACACAGAAGACAGCTGTTTCCCTTTTTCCATCTCTCCCAGGTTGTCCCCCAGGTTGTCCCCCAGGTTGTCCCCCAGGTTGTCCCCCAGGTTGTCCCCCAGGTTGTCCCCCAGGTGGTCCCCCAGGTGGTCCCCCAGGTTGTCCCCCAGGTTGTCTCCCTACCAAACTACACCAATCCTGACCGTACGATACCTGCCAGTACCAATCCCACACCAGCGCTGAAACCCCACACTCCCCGGTGCAAAAGCAGCACGTTCCACCCACCCACCCACCCCCTTCCCCACCCACTCACCCCCTTCCCCACCCACCCAACCACTCCCCCATCCAGCCACCTGCCCACTGACCCACCGGTGTCGAAGCGAACGAGGCGCACGGGCCTCCCTATGACTGAGGAGAACCAGTGCGCTGCGTCCTCCCCTGCATCCAACGCCCTGCCCGTCCACCCCCACACCGTCACCGCCACCCACCTCCCCCCACTCTCCCCATTCCCCCCACTGCCCCCCTCTCCTCCCCCGCCTCCCCCCCCTCCTCCTCTTTCTCCTGCTGCTCCTCCGCCTGCTCGTCCCTCTGCTCGTGTGCCCTCCCCCCTCCTCGCTTGCTCGTGGTACCAGGAGAGGGCGAGGGGGACGTGCAGGGGGGGGTGCCCAGGGGCAGTTATGGCTGCCAGGGGGGATGGAAAGGGGGGGGAGCGGATGGGGAAAGGGGAAGTGAAGAAGGTAGAGGAAAGAGGAAATCAACGGGTTTCAATGGTGAATGGAAGAGGGAAGGTAGAGGGAATGGAAGAGGGAAGGTAGAGGGAATGGAAGAGGGAAGGTAGGGGGAATGGAAGAGGGAAGGTAGAGGGAATGGAAGAGGGAAGGTAGGGAGAGGAGGAAACTTCTGCATCACTTTTGCCCCATCTCACACACAGAGAGAACCAGAGTCAGTCAGTCAGTCAGTCAGTCAGTCAGTCAGTCGGTCGGTCGGTCGGTCGGTCGGTCAGTCAGTCAGTCAGTCAGTCAGTCGGTCAGTCAGTCAGTCGGTCGGTCGGTCGGTCGTTCGGTCGGTTGGTCGGTAGGTCGGTCAGTCAGTCAGTCAGTCAGTCAGTCAGTCGGTCAGTCAGTCAGTCAGTCGGTCGGTCGGTCGGTCGTTCGGTCAGTTGGTCGGTCGGTCGGTCAGTCAGTCAGTCAGTCAGTCAGTCAGTTGGTCAGTTAGTCAGTCGGTCAGTCAGTCAGTCAGTCGGTCGGTCGGTCGGTCGTTCGGTTGGTTGGTCGGTCGGTCGGTCAGTCAGTCAGTCAGTCAGTCAGTCAGTTGGTCAGTTAGTCAGTCGGTCGGTCAGTCAGTCAGTCGGTCGGTCGGTCGGTCGTTCGGTCGGTTGGTCGGTCGGTCGGTCAGTCAGTCAGTCAGTCAGTCAGTTGGTCAGTTGGTCAGTTAGTCAGTCGGTCGGTCAGTCGGTCAGTCGGTCGGTCGGTCGGTCGTTCAGTCGGTTGGTCGGTCGGTCGGTCAGTCAGTCAGTCAGTCAGTCAGTCAGTTGGTCAGTTAGTCAGTCGGTCGGTTAGTCGGTCAGTCGGTCGGTCGGTCGGTCGTTCGGTCGGTTGGTCGGTCGGTCGGTCAGTCAGTCAGTCAGACGGTCAGTCAGTCAGTCCCTTACCATGCAGCATGGCTTTAAGCGAGTTACCCTCGTTCTCACTTGCACACTCTCACACCCAATAAACACCCCATTCTCACGCACAGAGGCACGCGTCAGGGGGCAGTGTGTGCGCCCACGTGTGCGGCGGAAGCAGAGCCTCAGGCGGAAGGGAGGTGCGGATGAGCGCCATGCGAGCGCACTGGCGCTGCGTGATGAATCGCAGAGGGGGAGAGGACGTGGATGCGGATGCGGAAGAGGTAGAGGTTGGAACTCCCACCACCATCCATTGCCGGTCCCACTGCAGGCCTGCAGGTGTGGGTGGTATGGGGGGAGAGGGGGGAAGGAGGGAGGGAGGAGGTTGAGAAACGAGGGAGTGGTGAGGGTAAGGAAAAAAGGAGAATGGTGGGTTGGGGAGGCAGGCGGAGGGAGCGGGGGAAGTGGGGACGAGAATGAGAATGAGATCAACAGATGACGACAGGATTGGCGACGACAGTTCACGTCGTCAATCCTGTTGCATACCTGTCGCAGCTACCGCAGCTGAGTCAACTGTGATACCTCCACACGACTTTATTGGGTAGATATACAGCCCCGAGATTCGCGGGCGACCCTTCGCCATTTTTACTGCTAATTTCAGCTGTGCGTCGACGTCAACGTCGACGTCTATTTCAGCCTGGTGATGGCGTTGACGCAAACGCTTTAGTGCTTGTGAAACAGTTCATATGCCGTCGGGGATGGGTTTTGAGCAGAGTCTGCTTGCCACCGCATTGTAACCCCGTTAGATTCGTTTGAACCATATAGAGCCGCGTTCAATTCCATCGAACAAGCAACTGCGTCGCTGTTTCAGTGGCTAGCGTGTGGATAAATAGTGTATATTCGATAAGGAATATGTGCCTGAATCACGAGGGAACTGTGCGGACAAAACCCAGACTCGAGTTGTCTTGTACGCGGGCAAACAAGCTGCATTCGCGATCTCAAAGCCGGAATAGTAACTTCGCTCCCAGAATCTCGCCACTGCTTTTTCCCCTTTACCACGCACTGGTCCTGCCCTCCTCCAACGTGGGTTGCAGTTCCAGCGAGCGTCGCCACGGGAAAAAAACGATTTCGAGAGCCGTTGTTACTAAACGATAGGCGAACTCGCTACCATCATCCACCCCCTCAGCCTGCACAGCACCACCTCCTCGCACCATCCAGAATCACCTCCACCCACACCTTCCCTCTCCTCCGTCAATCCCACCCGTCCATTTTCACCGCCTCATCGTCATCTCAGCTGCTGCCTCCCCTGCACTGCTGCGCGCCGGGCTTCGTCCGCTCTTTATTGACCCTCTTCTCCTCTCGTCCCTAACGCGCGGCGACTACGTTTGATCCGCTTCAATCAGATTCGATACAAGTCGCCGTCATGTCGTCGGCGATCGGGACGAAGATCAAGCACGCGATGCTCAAGGAGCCGGTCGTCATGTGGTCGTGCATCATCGCCGGCATCGGTGCGTCCTCTTCCCGTGTCGCTCTAATCACACCTGCTTCGAAACGTCTCAAAAATCTCTCGTCATGTCGTCGTACATCATCGCCGGCATCGGTGCGTGCGTCCGCTTCCCGTGTCGCTCAGATCATACCTGCTCTGAGACGTTTTCATCTAGCTCAGTTCAGTTTTGCCAGATTACGTTTCAGGCCGTCTGAAACGGTGCGTAAAGGGTCAGACGTCGTGTGCTCCTAGGTCATCGCTCGTATCGATGGTACTCTTTCAGCTTTCGCTCTCGAGCCTCGATGCTTGTTGCTTGTCTTCGCTATCCCTGTCCATGTCCTTATCCAATCGCCCCTCTCTCGCTTCTGCATGTCCGCTCGTCCTTCCCTTTGTCGCTCAAGGCTCAGCGCGCGTTCCTTGCAGCCTTGCTTTGATACGTCTCGAAGCTCTGGTTGAAAGTGTCGTCCTCCTGACAGCCCTCCGGACAGCACTTTCAGGAGCACTCCTGAAAGCGCTCCAGATAGCGCTTCTGACAGCACTCCGCCACGGTCGTTACAAGCAACCGAAACTTTGTCCTGCATTGATTGACCTATACTTTCCTGACGTTACCCGCCCTTGCGCATGCGACACGCTACTGCTTCCCATTGACCTAACTTGTCCTGCCACCTGCTTTTGTATATACCACCACCATTCCATTTCCTCGTTCTTCCATACCTTCCCCCCACCCCCCCACCCCTCCCCCCCACCACGTCCCCGCCCAATGTCTCCCCTTCTTCCCTCCCCCTCCTCTCCTCCCCCTGCCTTCCCGCGGCGCTCTCTCTCCCCCAGGCATGGCGCTCCCCCTCGTCGTTCCGCCTATGCGCGACACCCTCTCGCCCTCCAAGCCCGTGGTGCAACCCAAGACGGAGGAGGTACGTGCTGCGCTGCTGTGTGCGCCTGCCACCTCCTTGTGCTGTGTGCCTGCCACGTGCTGCTGTGTGCCTGCCACGTGCTGCTGTGTGCCTGCCACGTGCTGATGTGTGCCTGCCACATGTTGCTGGCTGCTTAAGCACACCACTCTTAAGGTCGTGTCATTAAGGGTCGTCAATGCTGTTACCGTCCCTTATGCCCGCCCGTCCTCTTGTGCTTGACCCTGCCAGGTCATCAGAGCCATCACCGGCCAATCCCGGTGACAGTTGCTGCGTGTACACACAGACGAGGCACGTGCCACGTCAGCAGCAGCAGCAGCCCACAGTGCATTATCAATGGCGCATCAGCTTGTTACTACATTTTCCATTACTGGGTATCACACATCACATTCGGTACCGTAACAGATTCACAGTCCCTCCCATGCCACTCAACTCCTTTTGTGTACAACCTACAGTACAATCCCTCTCATACGGTACTCTCCATACCCCCTGTGCCATTGTCTTTTGTACACTGCTGCATACTTGCAAGGTTTTGTTACAAGTAGTTTCCACACCCGTTTGTAAGCACATTCTTTTGCAGTCCTAACTCCAGTGGTGGTCATACACCTGTAAAGGATATACATATACCAGTAAAACACCGTAAGTGGTGAAACATTTGTACCAGACCAGTATCACTTAAATGTAAGAGGATTCAAGTACACAAATCCATACACAACTATGTACATGGGTTTACATACATGCAGCCTCCTACAGTGACGCCTGCCTACACTCCACAGTGACTTGCGAGTCCTAGACAGGCTGTAAAAGGCCTGAACAGTGACCAGTGACCATGTCTGTGGGCTGTAAAATAGAGAGTTATACTGAAGAAGAGTCTTTGAGGCGACCCAACTGTCACATGACATGACTGGGCCTGGAATGTGTGGGCTGGGCTCGATGTGCGTGTGTGTGGGTGAGTGGCTCGGATGAGTGCGTGTGTGGAGGGCGTGTGAGGTGGGAGCGTGCGAGATGCGTGTGTGGAGGGTGAGTGGGTGGGCGTGTGTAAGTGGGTGGGTGCCGGGCTATGGGGGTCGGGACCGCTCCTTCTGCACCACCTCCTGCTGCTTTGCCACTAGCTGCTTCCCATGCAATGACACACACATTATGCGACCACACATCCACGCACACACACATGCACGCGTGCGCACATGTGTACACACACAAAAGCACACATGCACAGGAGGCAGGAGAGGATGCATGTTTGTATGACTTTTGAGAATTCTCAAAAGACACCAAGAGATGGCTTTATGGCAACATATGTAGACACAGCAGAACTAGAAACATCAGAGAGCATGCAAGACAAGTATATGCACTTTTGGAGCGCTTCAAAATGGGGAGTGAACCAAGAACATGGAGAACGAGCGACAAGCGCAGGGAGAAGGACGGGATATTAACTTCACCAGGGACGGTGCAGGGTAGGGGCGTTGGGGAGGAGGAAAGAGGAGACGCGCAAGCGAGGGGGCAATTAATTCCCAGCTTGTTGTAGCGATAACAAAGAGTGGAGAGTTGAAGCGCCCTATGGTATAACAAAGAAGGAACAGTTGTTGTAGCTGACCTTATCCACAACAACGGAAATGGCATCCCGACCTCCTACCAGCAGTCGCGCTATCTGAGATGAGAGAGAGGGGGGGTAGTTGGGGACGGGGTCATGATGTACCAAATTCACGGACACCAGAGAGAGAGAGAGAAAAAAAAAGACGTGGGAGGTGTAATACATTTTATAGTGTGTTGTATTCTCATCCACAAGGAAATAGACGAGAAACAAAATAAGACGTGCAAGTGGATAAGGGTGGAAGCACGTGGAGGGGGGGGAAGAAAATGGTTATTGGACACAGTATGGATCAACAACCGTTGCCATTTTGGATCTGACGTTACCATTTCAGGGTCGGAAACAAATCTCGCAGCTTCGAATTCCTTGCGCGCACTCTCCCGCAGCACATCCCTCCTGAGGCCGTGCGGGAGAGAAGAACAGGGGAGAGAAACCGGGAAGAAAACGGGGAAACAGCAGCATAGACAGGCGGTGAGGAAAGCTTAAAGTTTGGGGTGGAGAGACAGTTGGAATACGGTAGATGCTGGGCTTAAAGCTTTAAGAACAGCACTGAAATAGGTCTTGATAAGGGGACGCTCGTGCTATTAAGCATTGGGCTAAAGAGTACCTTTTGTGTTGAAAAGAGTGATGATTCCAGCGGCACAAGAGGCATGTGTATGTGATAAGAGGGGTTAGCGCGTGCAGAAGGAAAATAGGGGGGAGGCAAGGGAGAGAGAGAGAGAGAGAGAGAGAGAGAGAGAGAGAGAGAGAGAGAGAGAGAGAGAGAGAGAGAGAGAGAGAGAGATAAGGAGAGGGAAGCGCAGGAGAAGGAAAACCAGGGGAGGAACGGTACCAGAGCGCTCCTGAAGGGTGTGGCCAGAGAAAGACCCGCGTGGTCCGCAGCATGAGACGGTACCTGAAGGCCCAGGGAGATCAGGAGCAGAACAGATCGGAGGCGGGGGATCGGAGCAGGGTGAACGTGGGGGAAAGGAACGGAGCAGATCGGAGGCGAGGGGAAGGGAGAGGGGGGGCAGGGAGATGAGGGCGGCACGACACAAGGGTGAAGCAATGAGTGTGCCTTACAAGTGGCTGTGATTATTTAGTACACTCAAAACTGCATCAGAGGAGCTGCTGTGTAGCTAGGATGCTCTCCCCTGTAGACATTCCTGCCCACCGCCTAGCCTTCCTCTCACTCACGCTCCGCCCCGCCCCACCCTTCCCAGCTGCCTCCTCCCCCCCCCTCCCCCACCTCCCTCTCCCCTCCCCTCCCTCTCCCCTCCCCTCAAGCTACTCACAGATCCAGCGCTTCCCGCCGTGACGTCAGCACGGCGGCGGGGCTGCGCTCCTCCGCGGAGGGTCCGCGCAGGAGGTTGCGCTCGATGATCTCCGCCGCCGCGCTCTCCGCGGATCCCGGTCCGCGCGGAACGGAGTTAGCCACGTGCTTCCAATACTCGCTGTCTGCCTCCGCCGACGAATAACCTCTAACGGTTATTGCGGCGGCTTTTAACGCGGACGAGCGCGCGCTTGCGGAATCGACAAGCCGAAAAGCGGCGCGCGCGGCGTGACGAGCGAGCTTTAGCGATCGGAGCATGGTTGGTTGCAGCATGAGCGGTGCTGTTTCTGTGGATAATCCCGCCGCGAGTTTCTACAGAGACTCGCGAAGTGTTATGCGACTCCGCTCGGTACAGCTCGATGCGACGTCCTTATGTCCCGAAAATACGTATGGGTGTACGCGCGCTGTGAGAATGCACGTCGCGGTACAAGCAGACTCGGAACGGAAGACGGTTTGATGACAGAAGTATCAGTTAGCTGACAATCGTCATCACATTTTTCACAAACATGCATAAAATGATTGCATAACCGTTCATAACATGCATAGAATGATTGCTAGCTTTGGCGCAGCACAAACATGTAGCACACATTCATGCCATTATTAGTGAATCCTCCAAGACGGAAGGTTCGGAAGTTACTATGGTACACCTAGATACATTATCTACCGGTAAATCAGGACAACAAACCTAATCAAACCCCCCAGCCATGTCCCCACCCTTACTCCCAAAGAAAACAATCCCCCTTCCCCTACAGTCACATAATCTTGCACCTGCTCTTCCCTTCAGCCCTTTCAGGCCTCTTTTTGCGACGATAACGGCGACGATGCTTCTTCCCTGCTTCCCCTTCCCCTTCCTCTGACACCTGATCAAGCCAGCCCAAGGCAAAATGCACCAAAATAATGTGACAGCACTTCTGTTAAATACAGGAGGGCAACAAAAGGAAGAAGCGCCGCAAGCAGACTTTGGTTGGACCAAGCAAGTGTGAATGCAAAAGCGGGAAGAGAACGCAATGTTTCCATTAACTTTCATCAAAATGGAAAAAAATACCTTGGCAGCTTCTGGACTTGGCTCAATTGTAGGCTTCATTCCCGCCTCACCACCCTGCTCACCACCCCCCTCACCGCCACCCATCCCTTGCACTGCGCGCACAGCTCCAGCGGCAGCAGCAGCGGCCACCTCTGCTGTCTCCTCTGCTCTCTCCCCCTCAGGCGCTCTGGCCATAGCGGCCTCTGCAGCATGTGCTGCCAGTGCCTTCTCAGCCGCCTTCCCAGGTGCTCCAGGTGCAGCTTCAGGCACTGCCTCAGGTGCTCCACCCGTCCCAGGTGCTGTCGCAGGTGTTACAGCAGAGGGCCTGGAGGGACCAGCAGAGGGAGCAGTGACTGTAGCAGAGGGTGCTGCTGATTCTGCTGCTGCTGCCACGGATGGAGCAGAGGCTTCAGCGGGAGTAGAAACAGACACAGGAGCTGCTGCCGCACCAGCAGCAGTGGTTGCAGCACCAGCACCGGCAGCAGCAGAAGATTCAGGCACAGCACCTTCCTCACCGCCCAATCGCCTCTTCCCCTCCACTTCCTCTCCCCTTTCCTCTGCCTCCTCCGCCTCTTCCTCTTCAGCTTCGGCCGTTGCCGGCGGCGCTGCCACTGCTACTGCCTCTGCTTCCTCTTCCCCCATCTCGCGTGCTGCCTCTGCCTCTCCAACAGCAGGAACGGCATAACCAAGCTCACGTGCTTTTACGGCTGATTCTCCTGCTCCCTGTGATATGCAAGATTCAGCCGGAGCAGGAGCAGGACGGACAAGAGTGGCAGGAGCAGGCTTGCCAGGGACGGGAATCCCAGAAGCAGCGAGGGCGTTGAGCGTGGTTTCCAGGTGTGCAATGCGGTCCAGAATGGAACCCCGCTCCTCAATCTCCCGAGCCACGACTACCAACGGCACAGCTGCTCCTTCCTCCTCTCCCATCCCTCCTCTCTCTCCTCCACTCACCATCCCTCCAAACATCCCTCCCTCTTTCGCCTCCTCTTTCCCCATCTCCCTTTCTTGGCCCTCGCCCATGAACGCTGCTCTGGTGATCCCCTGATCCTCGTCCCCCTCCCCCCCTTGCATTGCACCAGGAGCCAGGACCCTCTTTCTCTTCCCCCCAGAACCAACCTCCGAAACACCTGAAACTCCTGAAACGACACCTGGCGTTGCAGCAGGGAGCATCCCAGCACTCTCCGTAGGACCGCCCGAGACAGCCTGCTGCATGGTGTGCACCTGCCACTCCAGCCACTTGAGTCGCTCCAGCACCGACCCATGCCCGCCTGCTGCTCCCGGAGACACTGGCGACACTGACCCTCCTCCTGCTCCTGCTCCTGCTCCTGCTCCTGCTCCAGTTGCTCCCGGGGATGCTTGCCCCCATTTCGCTCTTGCTGCTCTAGGGGAGACTGACCTTACTGCGGCTCCTGCTGCTGCTCCAGGGGACGCTGGGGATGCAGCAGCTGCTGCTGGTGTTCGCTCTGCCGCTCCTGATGGTGATGGGGATGGCCGTACGACTCTGGTCGCTGCAGAGCCTGCTACTGCCGGGGGGGTTCCTGCAGGAGGTGCTGCTGCTCCGGCTGTTGCTGCTGCTGGCGGCACCAGCTGCTGCTGCACGCCTGGAGACGACTGCAGCCGTGTCTGCCCCTGTGTTGGCTGTAGCAGCGGTTGATGTAGCAGCCTGGGAGGTCCGGTGAAGCTCCTCACCAGCTGCTTGACCTTCCCACCCTCCGTGCCCGCCTGCGATTGCAGAGGAACAACACCGCAGAACAACGGAATTAGTGAGGTTTTTGATGCGCCTCAAAAATCGATAACAGCAATGCATACAACACCACAGAATCAACGGAACTAAGAGCAGAAGAGAGACAAATCAAGAGCAAACAAATCAGAACGGAAAGAGAGGCAAAGTAGAAGCAAGCGCTGACAGTACTAACAAACCTTTCATAAAACTCTTACGCTCACCTCAGTCCCTCCCAGTCTTCCTGCAAGCCCCACACCCCTCTCTTCTGTGGGTGTTCCTGCCCCTGCTGCTGCCCCCAAAATCTCCTCTTCACTGCCCCTCCTTTCCACCTCCTTCCTGCCCATCCCCCCCTCTTCCAGCTCCTCTTTCCCACCATGCCCCATCTCGCTTGCTGCAGCAGCAGCAGCATCAGCAGTGACCTGCTCCTCGCTCTTCCCTGCTCGCACGGCCTGCTGAATGGCCGATGCTGCAGCTGCTGCACCAGGCGTGGTGGAGGGCGCTGGAGAATTATCAGCAGGGGCAGAGATGGCAGTAGGACCAGGGGTACGGTTTGTAGCAAGGCCTGTAACAGGGCCTTTAGCTGGGGTTGTAGCGGGTGTAGTAGCAGGACCAGTGGTGGAACCTCCAGCATCCGATTTCCCTGCTGTAGCACCAGTCACAGCAGACGTAGCAGCAGCAGCAGCATTGGCAGCAGCCTGCTGTTCGCTCTTCCCTGTTCGCGCGGCCTGGTGAATGGCCGATGCTGCAGCTGCTGCTCCAGGCGTGGTGGAGGGCGCTGGAGCAGCAGCGGCACCTGCGGTACCAGCACCAGCACCAACACCACCGCCAGCAGCACCAGAAGCACCAGCAGCACCAAAGTCACCCGCACTACCGGCTGCAACAGCACGGCCTGCGGTAGAGCCTGTTGCTCCCGTGCCAGAAACGCCTGTCACACCAACAGGGCCCTCGCTAGTAGCACCAGCAGCCCCCCCCCTAGTGGCACCAGCAGGGTCCCCGCTAGTAGCACCAGCAAACCCCACGCCCATGCCCGTCTCCCCCAACACCCTCTCCTCACCCACCCCCTCCGAAACCCTGCCCCTTGCACCCTGACCGCTCCCGCCTGCTATACCCTCTATTGCCGGTTCCCTTGCAGGCTCGCTCGCAGATTCTCGTGCCGACTCCCTTGCGGGTTCCCTTGCTACGACTTGCCTCGGCGGCTCCGTCTCCTTGGTGCTTCTGCGGCTCCTGGGTTTCCCTGTGGCTCCGAAGAATCGAGCTACCTGCCATGCGGGGTGGGAGGCACAAAGGTGTTTGGGGGGGGGGGGATATGATTGCAAGTGAGAATCGCGGAGACGCCAAGTACTCAAGAAAGGTTGGACAATCAGCGAAAAACTCCAACAGTTTGATACAGGGCGTAGCAAAGTTTCTGCGTTTTTCGCTAAAAGCACTCTTGCTCTTACGGAGACAGGCATACCTTCTCTGAGATACGCGACTTCTGATGCGGCTCCTCCCTTTCCGCAATCTCCTTCCGCTCTTCCAAAGACGACACTGCCAGAGGCCCCTTCCCCTCAGCCGCCGCAGCCTCCATCTCCGCGGACTGCTCCGGTTCCGCCACTGCGCCTCCCCCGCGGAGTGGACGGCCCCCTTGCGCGCCCTCTGCACGCCGCTCCCTCTCCGCGGCCGTCGGCGCCTGCTGCTGCTGGAACATGGAGGCCGGCGGAAGGAGGGGCTGATGGGGCTTCCGCGGTGAAGCCCCCGCGCTGGTGCTTCCGACAACGGGCCTCTCCGCAGCGGGAAGCTGCGCGGACTGGTCCACCGCGGTTGACTCGGCGCGTTGACCGGTCAACGATTCGCCGCCGCCGCCCGTGTCTGTAGTACTGGCAACACTGCTTTCAACGGGAACTGCCGTTCCGACGCGCCAAGGGTCGTCGATGGCGCTGCGACCAAGCTCGCCGGTTCTTGAAATCCTACTCGAGACGAAGACGTCAGCCATGCTTAGAGAGCGACATGCTTAGGAGAGGAAAAGTGCGCGAAAAAGAGCTACGACGAACACGGGCTAAAAATAGTAGCCTCGTTGCCGCAGCGCAGCTCGGGAGATCGCGAGGCGGTGGATGGAATGAGAGCACAGGCGGCTTCTCGAAGAGCACAGGCGGCTTCTCGAAGAGCACAGGCGAGCGAGGTTGTGCGCGCTCTGGGCCTGAGATGGCGGTAAAAGCGCTCGAAGAGAGGGTGACTGGGGGAGAGAACTCGAGGCGCTCCTGACGGATACAACGCGACGTGGCGAATGTGGGGGCTCGCGAGAGAGAGAGAGGGGGACGTGCGACGACGGCCGGGGGCGGACGCCGAGGCACGAGCGGGGGTGGATATGGTTCGAGGGTTGTAAGGGGGCTGCGCCATCCCGCGCGGCGCGGCATTCGCCGTGCTAAGAGCTGGCATTTCGAGCAGGCGGGATTCGCGCGCCTCGCAAGGCCGCACGCGGCGGGCGACGAGAGGGAGAGGGCATTCAAAAAGGAGCGTTTCCACCCATCTAGCAATGCGCTCCGAGGACAACCCCGCGCAGTCCAGCTTGAAATTACGACTTTTGGACGACACGTGGCGGCCATAAACCTGTAAGCACCGGGGGAGCACCCGCTTGCCATGCAGCGCGAGCGAGGTTGAGGAGACGGCTGGTGTTTCACGTGTTGGTGGCGGCACGTACTTGGGAAGCGCACAGCAGCAGTGCCAAGCGGGGTTTCAGAATTCAGATGAGCAGTGGGAATATGCGAAGGTGTGAAAAAAGCAGTTGCTAGGCAACTGGCAGGGCTACACCCTGGCTGTGAGTGTACAGAACAGCAAGGGGGGCGTATTCCGGTGCGCCGGAAGGGAGAGGTGGAGAATTCCGCTTCCAGTGGATGGGTGGGTGCATGGCGGCGAGGAAAAGTCATGCAGAAGTGCGCACCGGATTGCTTGTTTGCATGCACTGTGGAGCAAATGCTGACGTGTAACATGGTCAAATGAATTATCTAACAGTCTGCTGGTTTCTCTACAGTTCAATCGTGAAGCTTCAAGCGAGTAGGTTCATACGCAGGGCTTTATGTTTTTTTCCCCTTCCGTTTCGGGCTGCGGAAGAGTGTCTCTCAAAATAGTGTGGTACTTTCATTCTGCCCGTGTGGTTGCCCTCCGAAGTGCAAGTATGTCATCAGATTACAACCTCAACAAGGGTTAGGTCACCTTGGTTCCGCTTTTTACGGAATGTTCTGCGACCATGACGGCGCCTCAAAACCTTGTGGCGTCCAAAAACACATTCTTCGTCGGCGGGCAAAGGGTAGCAAGGGTTTCTGCCCCTCAACAAATTCCACGTGCGTATGTGGCCTAAACCCTCTATATTAGCACAATTGCTTCGCCAAATAGAGCAACCGTGCACACTTAGTCTCTCTAATACACCCCTTTCTGTTTTGCCTCGTCGTCGCCCAACCAATACTTGCCACGTCGGTCAAGTGTCCATAGATATTTCCAGCTTCCTCCTCACGATTTGTGTTCCGCGCCCCGCACCCTGAATGAATGCAAGCCATTAGCTCTCCGCTCCGCGCCTCGCATTTCACCCCCAAGTTCGCGCACAACCATTCAAATCTCATCCGCGTTTGTTTTTGGACCTCCCCCCAAACCCAAACCCTTCTGTTCGGCTCTCCTTCGATCTCTTTACATTGCCAAACGGGTCCAGGAATTGGAAATTTATGTATAAAATGCTTCGCGCCTAGATCTACTTGTTCTCCATTTCTGTGCAAAGCAGTTTCACTTTCGTAAGCTCCCTTTCTGTTCGGCAAGGGTTTCAGTTGCTTGTTTCACCCTTGTGTCCGTGGGTCGCCTTGCCACCTTTATTCATCATGGCTGAAGAATTGCGGTGCTTTGTTGGTGGTCTGTCGTACAACACGGACGACAGAGGGCTCATGGAAGCTTTCAGTCAATATGGCGCCGTTGACGCCAAGGTAAGCCACCTTCCGTTCTTTTTTGCCGCGTATCCTTATAGGATAGCTTGACGCCTGTTTTCCAGCTCCCATACCAATCTTGCATGAAGGACGAGTTGCGTGCACGATTGTTGTGGAAACTCGTTGCAGTAAAAATAAGACAAAGAATCATTGCTGTTTATTTGGATGTTACACCAGGAAATCTGCCGTTACAGCATTCACTTCTGCAGAATTTCTTGCTTTGTGTCTCCAGCAGACCTGATAGTATACTTGCGTCCCTGTGCTTCGCCTATTGCAGATCGTCAATGACAGAGAAACCGGGCGATCAAGAGGATTCGGCTTTGTGTCTTTTAACGAGAAGCCCGGCATGGATCAAGCAATTGAGGCAATGAACGGCCAAAGTTTGGACGGTCGTACGATCACCGTCAACATGGCGCAACCCAGAGGATCCGGCGGCGGTGGCGGTGGCGCCCGTTATGGCGGTGGTGGTGGTGGGTGGAACGCCGGTGGCGGTGGCGGTGGTGGCGGATGGGGTGGCGGCGGAGGCGGATACCAGGCCCGAGGTGGCGGCGGCGCCGGCGGCGCAGGGGGGGGTGGCGGCTGCTTTAAGTGCGGCGAGCGGGGCCACTTTGCGCGCGAGTGCCCTAGTGGAGGCGACGGTGGCGCCGGCGGCGGCGGTTATGGTGGCGCTGGCGGCTATGGCGGGCGTCCAGGGGCTCCTGGCGGCGGTGGTTATGGTGGTGGAGGTGGTGGTGGCGGGGGAGGTGGTGGATACGGCGGTGCTGGTGGATCAGGTGGTTATGGATGGTAGGGAGGCAGAGTACCGCGACGGGGTAGTTGCCGAGTCAGAATAATGGATTTGATATCTTTTGCGCTACGGTTGTACGTTTCTATTGCTTAATGTTAGTAGCAGATTTTAAGGCGTTTTGATTCTGACCAGCAGTAGTGTGAACGGTTAGTAGCGTCTATGGGTTCAGTTTTTTGTTCTGCTCGGTTCAATCTAGAGTAGGCCTAATGATCTGGAACCTGACTTTCCTCTCCCTGTTATGTACTTAAGTTTGCACCGTTTTATACTCCCTTTCGCTAAGACTTGCTTGGATGATCACTGCTGTAGTATCACTCAACCTTAATGTCTGTTCTCTTACGTAGTCAATACTATTTTGTGACTAACTAGAGATAGTGCTGGAGCATGGGCCCTGGACCACTTGAAAGCATTGACTGCACAATAAACTCTTCTCAGAAACTCTTATCCTTGGTCTGGTTGTGAATGAACACAAGACTTCTCAGAAACTCCTAACTTTAGACTGCGAGTTCAAGGCTGAATGCCCTTTCACATGTTTTCGACAAATTCCCAGTAACATGCGTGACCTCTTGTAGTTTGAGCTTGAATATTCATGATTGTAGACATCATACCGTACATTTGTACAGCTCTTCAGTTTGACCTGGTCCAGAAACTACGACTGTGAAGAGTCGCATCGTAGCGAAAATCTCACGGGAGGGGAAGTGCTGTACTGTTTATGAAGTTACAGCGCTGTGCTGCGCTGACACTCCCAAACATGTTCCCGTTGCCCAGTTTCCCCATATGCTGCCATATGCTGAATGGACAGGTCACAAAAAGTAAGTTTATCAAAACCTGAACACTGACAGCTGTGGGCGCCTCCACGCTGGGATTTCAGGTTCGGAGGTTTGGTGGGTTCTGTTCTGGCCTGTAAAGTCGTGCTGCCGGGTCACATCTAGTCCAGGTCAGGTGCTGGACCCGTGGAGACTGAGAAGGCGGAATTCGGCTTGGTTGAAGCAGGTGCAGGGACTTGGCGAGCCTGCTGGCGTGGCTGACAGCCTTGAGGGGCTAAGCTGACGTGGCACTACCCCATGTTGCTGTTCGCACCCATAGTGCTGCTGACCATGATGGGGACCCTAAGTGTGTGAAACACTTACAGTTGTTCGATTCCTTAGCTAAGATCCGAAATGAGTTTTATCTATGCCACAGCTGGCATAGGTATCGTTTTATAAACTCGTAAGTAATACCGGGGATGGCTTCATATGCTTCATATGCTGATGTGGCACTGTGTTGGCCCAGTGGAGTTTTTCTAAACATTCTTACGGTTTTTCTTATGCACATGAGCAACGATCAGTGGGTGCCAACAATTCGGGGATGCTGTGTGGGGCAGTGCTTCCCCAACCGCACTCTAGCTATCCGTGACACCGCAGCACAGACGGAAACAAGGCGGCGAAGAGCGCCTGTGACGTAGCAAGCGACTGAGCTGGCAGCCTTATTGCACGGGGCTTCGGTGCCGCGTCATCAACTCACCGCTGGTTCACTGGCAGTCGGGTAGCCAGCGGTGTGTGGTGCACTTCCACATGGAACCAGTTGTGTCCATATTTAGAGATAGCTGCTTGCGGAGTATGGCAGGTGTATGACTATGGTTCTGCTGGAAACAAAAAAGTTTCTTGATTTGCGTCAAAACTTAACCCGTTCGGGGTTTTACAGAGCCATTTGTCGTGCTGATTAGCTATCTGTGTGAGAATGGGGTCACGTCACAAAAAAGAAGAAAAATGTTACAGCCCTGAATGTACGAACCTCGTTTCACCGAGGCCATGCGACTCGCCACATGGGCCTTTCGGTATTCGGTCTGGCAGGTTGCGAGATTATAGCTTTGTCGTTTTTCGCGGAAACTTTGGCCCCTGTAAGTGAACCAAGCGGGAGCTTCCTCAAACCTCACCGTCGAGGCGACACGGGTGCTTTCAGGGAGAAACCTCTACGTCGAACGGCCAATCCTAGCTCGGTTCGTCCCCTCACCACCCAATCACCATGCCGCATGAATCTCTTCCATCGGGTCTGTCTGTACGCAACAAGTTTTCCCGCGTCGCATCATGTCGCCAGCTGGGCTAGCGGGCCACACGGGTGCGAAGAAGCCCCACTCGCGTGTGCGACTCGTTTCGCCGTTCCTTCAACCCACACGGTACGGGACCAGCTTTCGAGGCGATCACCTCTAAATAGGGCGATGGCTTCCCGATTCCAAACCATCCAGACAATTATCCAAACCAAATTGGCTCCGCACAACCCGGTTGCAAGCAAACAAGCCTCTCGTCCCAAGCCCACAAACCAACCTCCCCAACCGCCTCTGTATATCTGCCTCACCACAACCTAGTTCCCTTCGTTGCTCATCCTTTGTCTAGGGTTTCTTACTCAACCGCAGTTTTTCGCTCCTACAAACTCCTACAGCATCCATGGAAGACTACACCACTGCCTCCGCCGCCGCCGCTAACTCCAATGCCGCCATCCTTCAGAGGCTTCTTCTGGCCCAACAGCAGCAGCAGCAAGCACTGAAAAACGCAGCTAACCAGAACACCACAGTCGCGGCTAACGCGCTGCTTCTTGAGCAAATTCGTCGCTCACAACTAGCCGTCGCGGCTGCAGGCGTTGTCGGGTCAGGAAACGTGCAAGTAGGTTCAGGTTCAGTTCTCTGGGAGCAGCAGCAGCGACAAATGCTTCTCCTCCTTCTCCAGCAGCAGAGGCAACAGAATATGCAGCAGTACTTGCAAGCTATCGCGCTCGCGAACCTGAACAACAAGGTCGCCGTTAACGCAAGTCTCGATGCTGCCGCGCTCCGCGTGCACCAGCAGCAGCAACAACTGCAGGCGCTCAACGCTCTTCTCGCAAACGCTAATTCCGCAGCCACCTCCGCCAATTCCGATTTCTGCCTACCGGCGCACAATCTCGCGCCGGTCTCCGCACACAAACGCGGAAACTCCATCGACGGTGGAAGCTCGCCGCTGCGGAACTCCCCGCGCGCCGTGCACGAATTCAGCACGTCGTGGCCCGCCTCGGAGTGCGACTCGCCTACTTCCCCCGCCGCTTCAGCATTCGCCGATTCCGCGGAATCGTTCGAGCCGCTTCCTTCAGAGGAAGAATTCGAGATGCACTTGATGACTGTTCAGACCTCGTATTTCTCCCAGGAGTAAAGCCTCCGCCGCCGTATAGACGCTGTGCGCGGAAGCTTCTTCTCGTGCGCTTCTCCGCGTGCGTGTTGTATTGTACGTTTATCTGCCTGTGAAAGCATCGTGGGAAGCGCGTCGAAGCCGTTCGATCGGCGGCACCGGGAGTGTAATAAGGTCGCGGGGTTTCTCCGCTTCCAGGTGACTAGTCACACTAATAATTGGCGCGCCTGCTTGAGCCACAACGGGATTTTAGTGTCGCGGGTCGGCTCTTTCTCCCCTGTTAGGCCACTGCTTACTGCTGCCGCTGCTACACGGCCTGAAGTCACTCTGCATGGTGCCTACACGTGTTCGTCTGACCAATAAACGCCCAGAAGGGGTTTCCGCGGGTCTCCAGCGGCTGTACGATTTTTGTACTACGAATTCCGTCACGCACGACTTCAGCGCAATCTTCGAGACTGGACCGAGTGGTTTTGAGGTTCATTAGAAGAATCTGCATACCTCGAGATGCGAACTGCTCGTTTGCATTTGTCCCTTGTCCTCTTACTATGGCCGGCTTGTCCGGGCATGCTGTTCTTGCCGCCAGTGCCCCTGCCTCTATTGTACTCATGTGTTGTTTTGTGACTTAGTCGGTCTTCCCTTCTGTAGCCTTATGTATCTTGTCTTATGATATATCTTGCCTTCAGCAATCACACTCATCACTACCTACAAGTATGATAAAGGCTCCCAGAAGTCAGCTAAACTTCAGAAGTCTGCTAAACTTTGTTGTTGTTGTCTAAGTACACATTGACATGTTTGTATTACAGGTGTTCCTGCAGGCTAGAATCAGGGCTCTCGTTAGCAGACTAAATTAGTCTGTTGGTCTAGGTTACAGGCACAAAATGTGTAGTTCATATGTGTCAAATGTTGTAGCCTGTAGTGAGGTTTGTCTTAGGGGGTACAGAAGTTAGGGTTTGTCATATGTACCCCAACCAACATCAATGCAACATCCATTCCTCATTCTGACATGGTATCAGCTAGGTTAGGATCCTGTGGGATCCCGTTCCTCCGTTCTCCGTTCGTACCTCCCGAGCCTGATCCTACCTCTCGTTCGTACTAGTTTAGTTGTTACCGCGCCTAGTACCGAGCCTAGCATCATCTCCCCCGTCGCGTCGCACCCGTTCCCCCCGTCGCGTCGCGCCCGTTCGCCCCGTCGCGTCGCGCCCGTTCCCCCCGTCGCGTCGCGCCCGTTCCCCCCGTCGCGTCGCGCCCGCCTGTTCCCCCCTGTCCCGTCGCGTCGCCCTGCCCTGTCCCGTCGCCCTGTCCCGTCGCGTCGCCCTGTCCCGTACCGTCGCCCTGTCCCGTCGCGTCGCCCTGTCCCGTCCCGTCGCGTCGCCCTGTCCCGTCGCGTCACCCTGTCCCGTCCCGTCGCGTCGCCCTGTCCCGTCCCGTCCCGTCCCGTCGCCCTGTCCCGTCGCGTCGCCCTACCCCGTCGCGTCGCCCTGCCCTGTCCCGTCGCCCTGCTCCGTCGCGCCGCCCTGCCCCGTCGCGTCGCCCTGTCCCGTCGCGTCGCCCTGCCCCGTCGCGTCGCTCCCGCCCTTTCCCCCGTCGCGTCGCCCTCCCTAGGCCCTAGCCCGTCGCCCTCCCTAGGCCCTGGCCCGTCGCCCTCCCTAGGCTCTGGCCCGTCGCCCTACCCTAGGCCCTGGCCCGTTGCCCTACCCTACGTTTTGGCCCGTCGCCCTAGCCCGCTCTTCCGCTGCGACTGAGTCCTCTTCCCCCCCGGTTGTTACTCGCCTGTTCGTTCGCGTTGGTTCTCACTATGGCGACTCCGCGAGTTCTTCGTTTCGACGCTGACGGTAGACCCCTTGACTTTTCCGTCTGGCTTCTTCGCGCTCGTCGTCTGTTAGAGAGTCAGGTCCAGGGGAGCGAGACCCTCTGG